AGAGGCTTTTAGGGGTCCCTGAGGAGGTTTTGGGGGGTCTGTGAGAGGGTTTGGTGTCCTGAGGGGACTTAGGGGGAGGTTGAAGGTCCCTGAAGCGGTTTGGGAATTGCTGAGGGAGTTTGAGAGTCCCCGAGAGAAATTGAGAGGTCCTGAGGGGCTTGGGGGGTGTCTTTGAAGGAGTTTTAGAGGTTTCTAGGGGGATTTCAGAAGTCCCAGAGGGTTTTGAGGGTCCCTGAGGGAGTTTTTGAGGTCTCTGAAAGGGTCTGGGGGGTCCCAGGTGGGTTTTGCAGGTCACTGAGAGGGTCTAGGGGGTCTTGGTAGGGGGAATTAGGTCTCTGAGGGGATTTGTGGGGCCCTTGAGGAGGTTTGGAAGGGTCCAGAGGTGGATTTCTGAGGGAATTTCAGGGGTTTTGAGGAGATTTTATGGGGTCTCTATGTCAGTGGACCGACCCCAGGGAAAGGGGATCCCAATTCCCCCCCTGAGCCCCAGAGACCCCCAAAGCTCAGCACACAGAGACCCCACAGGGAGGGGGGCCCGAGGGTCCCCTAAAGCCCAACAGTGGGGCTCAGGGGGTCCCCCAGCCCTCAGGAGAGGGATCCTGTGGGTGTCCCCAAAAATCTAGGGAGGGAGATGTACCACATCTGGGTAAGGGGATCCCAGTGCCCCAGTATACCCCAGTGACCCTCAATAGAGCCCAGTAACCCCCTCAGTGACCACCCAGTGTGTCCCAGTGACCTCCTACTGCCCCCCAGTATGGCCCAGTGATCCTGCAGTGAGCACCCAGTAACCCCCAGTATGGCCCAGTAACCTGCCAGTGTCCCCCCGTGTGTCCTGGTAATCCCCCAGTAACCCCCCAGTCCCTCCCAGTGCCCCCTGGTTCCCCCCAGTGTTTCCCAGTATCTCCCAGTAATCACCCAGTGCCCCCCAAAGCCCCCCAACTGTCCCCAGTGTGTCCCCAGATGCCCTTGGCCTTTCTGTGAACATAGGGGGGGTGTTTTTGTGGTCAGAGGGTCCAGGGGGGCTCCTGGGGTGAGATGGAGGGTTGGGGACATCAGGGATGGGGTTTGAGGACAGTGGAACTGGGGAAACCAGGGGGGAACTGAGGACACCGAAAAAGTCTTGGGGACACGAGGTGGGTCTCAGGACTCACCTGCTCTTGGTGTAGGCCCTCCTCTCCCCCTCTAGGCCCCTTTAACCCCACCAGATTTCCCCCAACTCCCCTTTTTTAAATTTAATCCCCTTTCCCCAGATACTTTTAACCCCCCAGTGCCTCCAAGACCATTTTAACTCCCCCAAATTCACCCAAAGCCCCTCAAAACCCCCCAAATCCCCATCCAACTGCCCCCCCCAGATCTCCCCAAATCTCCACCAGTCCCCCCCTCAAATCTCTTCCAACTCCCCCACAAAGAGGGGGGCACCCTGGGACAGGAACACAGTGGGCTGTACTGGGAGGGCACTGGGCTGTGCTGGGGGCACTGGAGGGGGGCTCAGGTGTCCCAGGACAACGTGGCCCAGCTCCAGGAGAGATGTGGGGAGCAGTGAGGAGGTACTGGTCTGTCCTGGTCTGTGCTGGTTTGTACTGGTCTGTCTTGGTTTGTACCCCCAATCCCCAAAGCCCCTCCCCAGCTCCCCCAGGACCTTCCTGGACCTCAAAGCCCCCCAGGCCCCCCCAGGCCCCTGACTTGGTCCTGCTGCCCCTTGAGCATCTGCAGCTCCTGCAGAACCAGGCATTTCATCAGCAAATGTGCAGGTGACCCCAAGCTGGGGTGTGTTGATGTGCTGGAAGGCAGGAGGGCTCTGCAGAGGGACCTGGCCCAGCTGGATCCATGGGCTGATTGCAAGGGGATGAGGTTCCAGCAGGCCAAGGGCCAGGTCCTGCCCTTTGGGCACAAGAAGCCCCGTCAGCCCCCCGGGCTGGGGCCAGAGTGTCTGGAGAGCAGGCAGGCAGAAAGGGAGCTGGGAGTGGGGATGGACAGGCAGCTGAAGAGGAGGCAGAGTGTGGCCAGGTGGCCAAGAGGGCCAATGGCTGGTGGGCTGTGTGAGGAAGAGTGTGTCAGCAGGAGCAGGGAAGTGATTGTTGGTCTGGAGTGAGCGCTGGTGAGGCCACCCCTGGAGTGCTGTGTCCAGCTCTGGGCCCCTGAGTTGAGGAAGGCCCTGGAGGGGCTGGAGCAGGTGCAGAGAAGAGCAGCGAGGCTGGGGAAGGGAGTGGAGCCCAAGTGGTGTGAGGAGAGGCTGAGGGAGCTGGGGGTGTTGAGGCTGGAGAAGAGGAGGCTCAGGGGAGACCTCCTGACTGTCTGCAAGTCCCTGCCAGGAGGTTGGAGCCAGGTGGGGGTGGGGCTGTTGTGCCAGGAAGCAGCAGTAGGACAAGAGGGCTGGGTCTGGAGCTGTGCCAGGGGAGGTTTAGGTTGGATATTGGGAAGCAATTTTTTCCCAAGAGAGTCATCAGGGCTTGGAATGGGCTGGGCAGGGAGGGGGTGGAGTCAGCGTCCCTGGAGGTGTTGAAGGTGAGAGTGGATGTGGCCTCAGTGCCATGGTCTGGGAAGCACGACAGGGTTGGATCCAGGGTTGGACTTGATGATCTCGGAGGTCTTTTCCAACGTGGCTGATTCTGTGATTCTGTGATTGCCATTCCTATGGCAGCACATGCTTGAGGCTCTATCCCCAGGGTGATAGAGATGTCTGTCCATATCTATCTCCAAGGTTAGTCTGTAAATGTGTGGTGTTAGAAAAGCAGGCTGAGTTGTGGGTTGGTTGTAGAAGGAGAAAGAAGCCCAGAGGCCAGTGCAAGCAGGCAGCCCTCAGCTTGCACCTGATGTCCCCTCCCTGCAGGTTCCTGTCCTTGAGCCCAGGCCCTGAGGTGAGGCTGAGAAGTGGCGCGGAGGTGAGCCCAGAGCTGTCCCTGAGGTGAGGCTGAGAATAAGTGCAAGGCAGAGGTGCTGCTGAGGAAGGAGAGCCCCGTGGTGGGGAAGACAAGAAGCTGTGAGAGCCCTGAGAAGGTGCTGTGTCCATCCCCTGTGTGCCAGGTGAGCTGGGGCTTTGCTGCAGAGCTGCGGGCGCTGATTTGAGCATCTCCAAGTGCTGAGATGGTGGGCACCCAGGAACACAAACTGTGCCTGGCCACGGAGCCTGCAAGGAGGAGCAGAGACAGCCCTGGCAGTGTGGGGGGCCAGGTTGTCCCTGTGCCTTCCCCTGCAGGCCCTGTCTGTCCCTGCTGGGCCCCTGTCCATCCCCATCAGGTCCCTGCCCGTCCCCCCGGGCTGAGCTCCCCCCAGGAAGTGCCGTGGAGCTGAAGCTGCTGCCATCCCCCCCTGCAGCCGCTGCCCCAGCCAAGGGAGCAGCAAAGGCAGGGCCAGGAGCAGAGGCAGCAGCAGGGGAGCCCTGGGGGGGCCGGGAAGCTCTTGTGTGGGTCAGGAAAGAGGCGCTGGGCACGAGGCCGGGGCTGTGCTGAGCAGGCCCAGCCCTCACATCCCCCCAGCCAACGCCGGCTGCCCGGGGGGCTTGGGAGGGACCCCCAGCCCGTGTGCCCCACACTGAGCTGGCAGAGAGAGAGCCAAGGGACAGGGCCACGGGCAGGGCCCCGGGTGAGGGACAGGCAGGGCCATTGCAGGGCCACGGTGAGGGCACAGCCTGTGGCAGCAGAGCTGCCCAGGGCCGGGGGCAGCCGGGGGTGTTGGTACCAGCCAGTGCTGGGGCCGAGCAGAGCACGAGGCCTCTTGCAGAGCCCTGGAGCAGCCTCCCACTTGCCAGCCCCGCCCTGGTGGGGTGACACTGTCCCCTCCCTACAGGACACTGCCCCCGAAATCTTCACGGGGGCCTTTTTTTGCCTGTTCCTGGTTGTTGATTCCTGCTGGGGACCTGAGGCACCCTCTGCAATCCCATCCATGGGGCACAATCTCCTCTGTTGAGCTTGACTCACTGGGTTGGTGGCAGAGCCCCGGCGATGGGTGGGGGGATGCGGGTCCCCCCCACGGTGGGGGTTGGTGTTTCTGGGTCAGGCCCCGCCGGCTCCATTGTCAGCCCGGTGCCGGCGGGGGGGACACAGCGGGTTTGGGCCCCCCAGGAGTGCTGGGAGTGGGTGTGGATCCCAGGAGATGCCGAGTGTGGAGGGCGGAGCGGGGCGATGGCGGAACTGGGGGACCCCCGGCAGCCTGGAGGGGGGAGCACGGAGAGGGAGGAGCCCTGGGACCCCCGGGAGCCTGAAACAGGGGGCATGGAGAAGGGGAAGCCTGGACAGTGGGGACCCCTGGGATCCCTGGGACAACAGAGTGGAGAACCTGGAGAGGGGGAATGTCTGGGAACTTGGCATCCCGAAGGCGAGAGTCAGAGGAGAAGGGACCCTTGGAACCCCCAATGCTGCCAGCATCCCTGAGTGGGACCCCCAGCATCGCAGAGAGGGAAGCTGTTCCCAACCCCAGAGGCGACAGACCAGAGAGGGGGAACTCCTGGGAGAATTTCTTTGGGTTAACCTTCATATTTTAAAGTATTTTCTGGCTGAATCTCAACTTTTTGCAGTTTGGGTGGGCGAGGGTCTTCTTGCATGTTTTGAGAGGGTTTTTGCCTGAATCTCAGAGGTTTGGGTTTTTCTGGGCTGAATCTTGGTGTTTTGGAGGTTTTTATGGTCACAGGATGCCTGGTGAGTTCTAGAGATGGACTTGGGCAGGAGGAACCCCCAAGCCAACGCGCTCAGCCCTTGTTTTCCCCCCCATCAGGATTTGTCCTTCCCAAAGCTTGGGCGGATGGAGGAGGAGGCTGGGAGGAAGAGGAAGATGCCTTGGTCCCCCCAGGCAGGTGAGGAGGAAGTCAGTGTCCCTTTGGGCGGGTGTTGTGCTGGCTCTGTCAGCCGAGCATGGCCCCGGCTGCAGGACAACCCCGCTGGCGCCGCCGTCCTGCCGGGGCCGGAGTTGGGGGGATGTCCTTGGCCTTCCCTGTGGGCCGGAGGCAAATCCCCTGCCTGTCCTTCTTGCTTCCTGCCCCAGGCCCCGAGGTGAGGACGGAGAGCCCGGAGGACAAATCCCCCCGTGAGACCCTGGTGGGAGAGGCCGTTTTGAAGGGCTCCCCGGCGCAGGAAGGCAGCGGGGAGGAAAAGGGCCGGAGATCCCCCCACAGGAGGGGCTCCAAAGCCATCCCAGGGTGCTCTGAGGAGGAAAGAGCCAGCCTGTGCCGGGAAGGCGGCTGGAGCTTGAGGGGGAGCTCTGACCTGGTGGTCCCTGAGCAGCCTCCCAGCAGGGAGAAGCCCTTCAAGTGCTTGGAATGTGGGAAGAGCTTCAGGAAGAGCTCTCACCTGCTCCGACACCAGGACATGCACACTGGGGCACGTCCCTACACATGTGAGGAATGTGGGAAGAGGTTCAGCGAGAGCAACCACCTCCGCACCCACCAGCGCATCCACACTGGGGAACGGCCCTACACGTGTGAGCAATGTGGGAAGAGCTTCAACCGGAGCTTTCACCTTCGTTCCCACCAGCACACCCACACTGGAGAATGTCCTTACACGTGTAGGGAATGTGGGAAGAGCTTCAGGCAGAGATCCAACGTCCGCAAACACCATCGCATCCACACTGGGGAACGGCCCTACAAGTGCCTGGATTGTGGGAAGAGGTTTCCAACCAGCGGGAATCTCTACAGGCACCAGCGGACGCACATGGATGAGAGGCCCTTCCGCTGCACCGACTGCGGGAAGGGCTTCAACCAGAACTCCCATCTTGTCACCCACAGGCGCATCCACACAGGGGAGAGGCCCTACAAGTGTGGGGAGTGTGGGAAGAGCTTCACCAAGAGCTCTACCTTGACCCAACACCAACGGACCCACCAGTAAGGGAAGCCCCAGTGCCCCGACTGCGGGAAGAGCTTCGGCCGCTGCTTCCACCCCGAATGAAGCCCCTGATGGTGAGGCAACCCCTGGAGTCCAGTGACTGTCACTCCATCCCTTTTGACCACAAAGGGCCAGTCCCCTTTCACAGGGGCAGCTTCTTCCAGCAGAACCCTTCTTGGGGGGTGTGTCGAGATTCCTGCCTTGGCTGGGGACCCCCCAAGGTCAGTCCTGGAGGTTGAGAGCAGAGATCTCCCCACGAGCATTGGTCTGGGGGAGTTCCATCCATCTCTAATTAAGAATTATTGCTTTTGTGCCAGCTTGAGTAGAATTGCTTCAACAATTGCTTTAGTGTAGAGCACTGTCCTATCTTATCCTGTACTCCTGGTAGTTTTAGTGTTTCTATTGTGCAGTAAATAATTCTGATGAAGATCTTTTGTCTGATCACTTGTAACCCTAAATAAATTCATTTCTATCAATAGATCTGATTTGCCATCATTAAACATGTGGGACAAAAGTGTTTCAGTCACACCTCTCTAATTCCTCTAAACTGAAGCTGTTGGCATGATCCAAGGCTGAGATTGGATCCAGCAGCCCCCAGCACCCCCCAGGAAGTTGAGAGCTCAGGGGGGTCACCCCCTTTGCCAACCTGCCTGTGCCCAATGACCCCCATGGGACTGTTGGACCCACCAGACCACCCCCCTTTTCCAGCCTTCTCCCTGTTCCTCCCACTTTCCCATATTCCCATCAATCCCCAATTTCCTTCTAAACAGTTTTGGAGTCCCAACCCCTACTTTTTGCCCCCTCTCCTTTGGTTCCTGAAAGAGAAAATGAGGCTGCAGACACAGAGTTCCATTGCAGGACTTGCCTGTCAACGTTTTTCAGTGTCCCCTTTTATTCCTCTTCTCTTGTGAGCAGCGCTTGGTGTTTGTCTTTTAGTGCACCAGAATTCCCAGCATGGCCCCAAAGCAGTGCCCTGACCCCACACATTCCCCTCCCCTCATGTGCTGGCTGTGTTCAGCCTCCAGAGGAAAACAGGCTGGTCATTCAGGCTGGTTCAAGTGCATTTCCACTTGGAGAAACAACCTTCTCTCTCTCCAAGCACTCAGCCAAGGTCCATCCTCCCTTTGCATTCCCATGAACTCAGGGCAGGTGCAGAGTGACTCCGCTTGGTCCCACCTCTGCCCCTGTTTTGTTTGGACACGCAGAGTTCACGGCCAAGAGGGCCAGGACCCGGGCTTCTTGTCTTGGGGCTTGTCCCATGTGCTTCCAGAGGACTTGAAATATTGAAACCAGACAGATTCTGAACCCCTGCTCCTGGTGCTGCCACAGTGCCCATACACTGGCACTGCAGGCATGGCCTGCACTGAATGGCCAGTGCAGCAGGAGCCGTGGCTGCGGCAGCTGCCGGGATTGCTGCAGAGATGATCCAAGCAATCAGCCATCCACTGAGGATTTCTGCATTTCACAGTTTCCTTAATTCACTGTATCCTGCATCATCCTCCCAGCTTCTGCTTCGGTTCACTGGGAGCCCCAGTTTGGCTCTTCTGCCCATGGGAATTATTAATAATAAATGGAGGGTAGACACGTTTTGATCTGTGATACAACTAAAATAACAAGGAATATTTACAGGGATGTTAAAGGTATTGTCAGTCACACGAATCACAACGTCAGGTGCGGCCAAGAAAGGATCTGAGTGACAAGGACACACCATGGCTGAGTCATTAAGCCAGTCAGGAAGAGTTGGTACACCCAGTGAATTCCCCATAGAACAGTGTCTTCCTGATGGGACATCCGGGCAGGGCTTGCTCTGCTCAGCATTCCCTGCCTGCTCCCAGGATTCTTGAGGGACAGCCTCTGGCAAGTCCTGGCCGGAGGAGACCTGCCACCACCCCAAGTCCTTGCAAGGGTGCTGCCCGTCTCCTGCCCCAAAGAGCTGTGTCCTCAGGGTACTTCTCTTCCAGAGGGCAGCCAAAGCCAAGGGGCACTGAGGTCTGCCCTCTTGCAGGTGGCTGTTGGGAGCAGCAGCTGGAGCAATTGGTGGCAAGACTTGGCATCTGTCAGAAGGCAGAAGCTGTTGCTCCTTCCTGGCATGATTTTTGGGTGGAAGTGATTAGCAGCAGCACAAAGCCACCATCAGCTGCTGAGTTTCAGAGGACAAGTAGATTAGACAGAGAGACTCTCAAGCTTCCTTGTGTTCTTTTTGCTTGTTTTCTTGCCTTCTGGAAAAAAAATCAGCCCAGTCTCGCATGTTCAACACTCCAGTGTCTGTGGGCTCAGCTGTGGCCAGCAGCTGATGTCCAGTCCATTAGGGAAGTGCAGGGGACAGGGAGAAGTCTGGGATGAGAAGCTGTTCTGTGTCTCCCCTGAAGGTGCCACCCGCCTGCAGGAGCAGCCAAGAGAAGTGCTGGAAGCAGAGACGTTCTGGCAGTTTCTGCTCTCAGGTGGACACAGGGCCCACTTGTTGCCAGGGGTCCCGGAGATTGGATCCAGGAACAAGGCAGGGCCATGCACTGGTAGGGAATGGGCTCCAGCAGGACCAAGGGAGGAATGTCCAGCAGCAAAGTGTGAGCTGGTGAACTGGGCCATCTCTTCAGCAGACACCACAGTGCTTACTTCCCTCCATCCCTGAAGCTCCGCCACACGAGGTCCTGCTTTGCTTCAGCTTCTGCTGCTTCTTCCTTTGTTGCCCTCAAGTGTTGGACGTAGAGTTTAGAAGCCCATGCCTGTGTTTTGAAGGTGCCTGTGTGGAGGAGAGGTTGAGCAGCTGCAGCCAGAGGCTGGTGTCCCAGCAGAGTCTCTAAGGACACCTGAGTGTGGAAGGCGTGTCCAGCCTCAAGCAGGGCCATTGAAGTCAGTCAGGATGACAGGCTGCAGCTGAAGCTGCCAAGGGTTGCTGTGAGGCTGGGGAGTCACTGGAAAGCTGTGGTGGCCACTTGCCCTGAAGCCTTTTGCCAAAGCGGGTGCAATTGTGCCCACAGTCTGCCCACTTTTGGTGTCCTGGCGGGTGTGGGTGCCTGGGTGAGGAGGCCCAGGCGTTGTGGGTGCTGCTGCTCCTGGGCAGCCTCTGGTGCTGTTGTCTGTGGGGCGCGGAGCCGCTTGGGCAGCAGCGAGTGCGCAGCCCTGCCCGAGGAGCCCAGCGCCCTGCCCGTGGTGGCAGCAGCTCTGTGGGCCCAGAGCTCTGGCTCAGGGGGGTGTTGGCCACAGCCCCATGGCCTGGGCAGCCACGGGGGCCCGGGCTGGCCGCCAGCCCTGCCTGTGCCACTGCCCCTCGCCGGCAGCACCCGGCGGACGTGCCCCGGCAGGGCCCCCTTGCCCTCCTTGTCCCCAGCCAGGCCAGCCTGGCCCCCTTGGGGGTGTGCCCACCCTGCTGCTGAGGCCTGGCCTCCAGGGCTTCTGCCACAGGGCTGGAAGAGGCCTCAGGAAAGCAGCAGAGCAGCCGGCTGGCAGGGAAGGAGGTGGCTGCCTGGGGGCTGCTTATGGCCTCTGCCCCCCCAAGTCCTGGGGGCTTTTCCCTTCACCCTGCCCCTTGGGGCCTGCGCCCAGTCTGTCCCCTCACAGCCTTCTGCCACCCACCCCCTCACAGATTCCCTTCAAGGCTTCCCTCTTCCTTGTCCCATCAGGGCCTCCACAGCCCCTCACCCCTTCCTGGCCTCCCAGCGCCCCCTCCCCTGCGGGTCTCCCCCAGCCCCGCCAACCTGCCCAGCAGTGGTGCAGCCCTGAAGGAGCTCCAGAGGAGCTGCTCCAGAGGCACTTGGGAGCCCGGAGCAATCCAGCCAGTGACACACAGGCAGGACACAGACGCTGCTTCCTGGCTGGGGAGGGCTTGTGGCCATCTCCAAGGACAAGGTGCTCAGGGTTCCCCACAGCTCCAGCCTCTGCCCTCCACTCTGCTGCAAGCGTTGAGGCTCCAGAAGAGCCATCAAAGGCCAAGGGGCTTCTGCCCACTTTTGCTGGCACGTTGCACAGCGGGGCAAGTGTTGCTGAGCACAAGGAGCCCTTTTCCCCTCTTCTCCAAGGCCCTGTGCACACTGGGCACCAAAAAAACCTCCTGGGCTTCTGTATGTGATAACATGGATGTAATGTTCCCATGCTGAGCTCAAAGGAGGTGCTTGCAGGGAAGAGGCATCTTCCCCACAGGCTCAGGTGGCCCCAGGAGATGGAGCTTCCTGCATCAGTTCTCCACAGAGCTGCAGCAGCACAGGCAGACACTGCCCTGCGGAAAAGGCCGGGCCTGCCACGCCCTGCACAGCCAGTCTTGGAGCTGCTGGAATCTGCAGTAGGGAGCCATCTGTACAGCTCTTGGCACGTAGCAGTGTTGAATTGCCAGGCCTGCCATGGCGAGTCTGATATCTTCTGTCACGCCTCTATGGGCTGGAAGAGGCAGCAACGGAGACTACCAGAAATGGAAGAATGAAGTTCTCCGTACAGCTCTGATGATTTGGAGCGTTTCCTGGGCCAGGTTTGAGACGGCAGGGCTGTCATCAGTGATGTCTTGAAGGGCTGGAAGAGAAAGGAAGAGAGCCAAGGTGAGAGGCCAGCGGTGTGGGGATGCGAGGAGCCCCTCCTGCCAGGGCCATCCCAGCCAGCTCTTGCCATGGCCAGGAGGGAGCAGGGCCCAAGGGGATCAGCTGGAAAGTGCTCTCGCTCACCCTGGCAGATGAGCTGCAGCTCTGGCTGCTCCTGCTTCATGGACCTGGCGGCGATCCCTGGGAACACAGAGCCTGTCAGGCCCCAGAGGCACAGGTCCCCCGCAGCGGCGCTGCCAGCCCGGCCACACGGCCTCCTGCCCTGGCAGGGCTGAGCCCGGGGCCTTCCCGCATGGGGACGCCCCAGGGCTGGGCTGGCACAGGGCGGCAGCAGGCGCTCGGGGCCACTCGGGGCTCCACATGCCCTGGGCCGCATCCTGCTGCCGCTGCAGCAGCCGGGGCTGGGGCCGAGCTGCAGCGGGGCGGGGAGGGACCCCGGCCTTGTGGCTCACCCAGAAACTTGATGGCCAGCTTTCGCAGGGGCTTCTCTGGGCTCTCCAGGAACGGCAGGGCCTGGCGCACGTAC